CTGCCACTGTGGCACCCTTCCAGTACCGGTGAGTAGGGGTGCCTTGGGACATGGGGTTGGGGGTGCCTTGGGACATGGGGCTGTGGGGGACATGGGGACAGGGGGAGGCAGGCAGTCCCAGCAGGGGTGGCCATAGGAAATGGTGGGGTTGGGTCAGGGGGCTCTGTGCCAAAAGGAAGGTTCCCAGTGTATTTGGGGTGCTGGGGCTCCTAAGTCACCCATGAGAGGTTGATGTGGGGCAGGGGATGGACTCATTGGGGAATAGGGTGCCCTGGGACCCCTTGCCATGAGACCAGTGTTCCCAGACCATGGCAGAGCCTATAGCTCCAGATTCTCATCTCCTGGGGGTCCCTAGCCAGTTGTCCCTGATCACCCACCCTTACCCCCTCTGCCCACAGGCTGCAGGAGGACCGGGAGCATGAGAGGGCCACGTCCCCGGGTGATGAGTGCTCCAGTCCTGAGAAGGGATCTGACCCCAAGCCCAGAGGCCTGAGTGAGTCCAGAGGGGTTGGTCAGCAGTGGGGGTGTCCTGCTGGGGGGCTGCCGTGACAGTGCCAGGGAACGGAGGCTTGTGCTGGAAGGGGAGCCAGGGCTGGAGGGCAGTGGGGTGTGGGGGAACCCTCACACTGGAGGTGCATCAACTCCCCTGGGAAAGGCTCGTCTGCAGTTCCTGCATCAGGTGACCTCCGTGGCCAAATCCCTACACTGTGAGGAGCACAGGGGACTGACCCCTCTGGGGACGGTGCCAGGACATCACCCCTGCTGGCTCCTTTCCCTCCGCAGTTTCCCGGCGAGCTCCAGGAATGACCCATTTCCAAGGAGCGGCGCGGAGGGACCGGGGGCTGCCCACACCCACCACCGGGTCCCCCCTTTCTCGAGGGATGAATCCCAACTCCTCGCTGCAATGCCGAGGCCACCCCAGTCCCCTCTGGCGCTTGCTTTGGGGGAGATTTTGGGGAGGCGGGTCCAGGGAGGATGCTGGGGCGGCGGTTGCCAGGGCAGCGGCAGCGGAGGATGGCGGGATGCTCCAGAGATGTGCAGAGAAGGGGAAAAAGAGAGCCGGGAGCTTCACCGGGTGATTTGAAGGGACAGAAGTCGGTCAGATCCACCGTGGCTCCTGGCAGAGCCCGACTCTGACCTGGGGTCACAGCACCTCAGTCAGAGAATAATCAGCGCTGAGCCCCGATTTGGAAAGTGCTGAAGGCAGCGGGAAGCGGGAGGGTGTTCCAGGAGGAAGCAGGAGGGAGCGAGCGGGGCTGGCATGCGCTCAGCGCAGCTGCCCTGCTCCTTGGGGAGCTTTTGGGACAAAGCCGAGCGGGTTCGGCCCCGGGGAAGGGGCCGGATCCTTTCCCTCCCTCCGTGCCTGCTCCAGCTTCCCCTGCCCGCGGCACCTCCCACGACTCGGCCAGAGGGAACAGGGGACATTGAGAGAGCCCAAGAATCACTTCAGCAACCCTGAAAACCACACAACACCCACAGATCTACCCCCAACAACAGGCCCTGCACCCAACAGCCCTCCCCCGAACCCCGAGTGGCTTTGGGGTGCAGCCTGTGCACCCATCCTGCCCCAGCAGCACCTCTTAGTGCAAATCACGCTTTTTTGGGGCACCCTTTACTGTCCCAACCGGGTGGAGTTATTTTGGGACTCTTCAGCACTACCATTGAGCCCGGGATCGCCAGGCCGGGGGTGGGCTGGGGGCTCGCACCACCCCCGCTGCTCCCGGCCTTATCTCGGCAGCAGTGATGGGGTCTAATGCAATATTTCCCGGCGGTTGCCATGGCAGCCCGCGTGAGGTCACCAAATAGACTTAATTCACCCCTCCCAAGGGACGGGTAATTAATGAAAAATGATGATAACCAGATCCCACTCCCCTCCTGCCCCCCGCCTTTAATTCCCTAGGATCAGTGGAGAGGCCCTGCTGGGTTTGGGGGCCACAGTGTCCCTCCCGGGATTCCTGAGGCCACCCTGGGCTCTTGCTGCACAATTTGGGGAGAAACGGAGATGTTTTGGCCCCCCTGGGAATGGGTGCGCAGTGTCTAGGTGGGTGTGGGGTCCGTGGCGGGCGGGACAGGGGTGTGAGGGTCCCTTCAGCGCAGGGTGCTGGGCCGTGGGGTCCCCGCGCTGGCTTCATCCGCCTCCCGCTCAGCCCCCGCACGTCCCTGCCGGTGAGGGGCCGTGGTCGCGGGGCCACGGCCGGTCAGGCGCTCGCCCCTCACGCCGCCCCGTGCGCGCTCCCGGGGTCCCGCGCGCTCCCTCCGCCCCGAGCCCGCCGCGCGCGCCCCCGCCCGGCCCCGCCCCGCCGCGCGCGCCCCCTCCCCTCCTTGCTCCCCCGCGGGCGCGCGCGCCGCGCCCCGCCCCCTGGCCGCGCCAGAGGAGGGCGGGCCCTTTTTGTTCGCCCCTGACATTCCGCTGGTTCGCAGTGTCCTGCCGGCGGCGGAGCGGCGAGGTGGGGCCGTGCCGCTCGCGCCCCTCTCCCCTCACCCCAGCTCCCGGCCCGCGCCATCCCCTCCCCGCTCCGCCCCGGCCGGTGGGACGGGCGCTGACGGCGCCTCTCCCTCTCTCTCGCCCGGTGTGTCCTCGGTACCGCAGCAACAGCAGCAGCGCCTGGCGGGTTAAATGGTTGCAGCGCGGGGATGCTGGGGAGCAACCTCAAGAGCCTTCCCGACGTGGAGCTGGGCGAGGAGGAGCGCGGCTTTCGGCGGGGCCCCGACGGCAGCACCGTGATGCCGAAGCGGGCGAAGGCGGCGGCGGCGGCGCCCGCGGGGCCGCGGGGCGCGGAGCTGCGCGTCTTCAAGGCGAGCAGCGCTGAGGGGCGGCTGCCGGCCGGCTCCAACCTGCGCAAGCAGAAGTCGCTCACCAACCTCGCCTTCCTCACCGACGCCGAGAAGAAGCGGCAGCTCTATGAGCCTCGCTGGAGCGACGACATGGCCAAGGCGGCAGCGCCGGGGGCGGCGGCGGCGGGGGGCGGCGGGCGCGGCGGCCCCCGCGGGCGGGACCGGGCCGCCATGTCGCGGCTCCCACCCCGCTCCGAGCACTCGCTGCTGTCGCCGCGCCCCGCCGGCCCGGCCAAGCCGCCGCCCGCCGGGAAGCCGAGCCGCATCCCCCGCGGGCCCTACGCCGAGGTGAAGCCCCTCAGCAAGGCCCCCGAGGCGGGCGGCGGCGGCAAGTGCGATGACGAGTTGCTGGGCGGCAAGGGGCCGGCGGTGGCGGCGGGCACCGAGGAGAAGCCGTACCTGAAGGTAGACCCCGAGCTGGTGGTGACGGTGCTGGGCGACCTGGAGCAGCTGCTCTTCAGCCAAATGCTGGGTGAGTGCGGCCGGCGCGACCGCCGGGCTCGACGTCGAGATGGGAATGGCCAGAGGTGGCAGCTGGAGGCAGCTGGGCTCCTGGCACTCCGTGAGGACCCGCTGAGGGCGACCTCAGGGTCTTGAAGTGAAGAGAGGCTGAGGGGAAAGGAGTCATCAGCCTCGGTGTCCCCAGGCACTTAGAATCACAGAATGGTTTGGGTTGGAAGAGACATCAAAGCTCATCCTGTTCCACTCCCTGCCATGGGCAAGGACACCTTCCACTAGCCCTGGTTGTTCCCAGCCCTGTCCAACCTGGCCCTGGCCACTGCTGGGGATGGCACAGCCACAGCTTCTCTAGGCAACCTGTGCCAGAGCCTTCCCACCCTCACAGGGAGAATTTCTTCCCAATATCCCATTTACCCCTGCCCTCTGCCAGTGGAAAGCCATTCCCCCTTGTCCTGAAGTCCCACTCTGGATCTCCTGGAGCCCCTTTGGGCACTGAAATGGGCTTTAAGGTCTCCCCAGAGCTTTTTCCAGTCTGAGCATCTCCAGGTCTCCCAGCCTGTCTTGAGAGCAGAGGGGCTCCAGCGCTCAGTGCATCTCCAAGGCGTGCTTGAGGGAAGGTGCTGTTAGCTGCCTCTTGCCTTGGAGGAAAGGCAGTTCCTCCTCACAAGGAGCAGTGGCAGGTGGTGGTGGAGCTTGTCCTCCCCCACGTGTCTTGTCGGCCATCCCTTGTCTCAACACCCACCAAACACGATGGAGGCTGCACAGCTGGGTGCCACAGCTGCTCCCCACCATCAGCGTGGCTCGCCCTGGGGGTGACCTTGGGAAGCTGCTGCTGGAGGTGCTGTGCGAGGGGTTCATGCTGCCGCTCCATTTTGGGCAGATCCTGAGCTCCACTGAGGTCGGGGTCTCCGGCAGAGGAGGGTCTCCAAGGATGCTGCTGCAGGGTTTGCGTGAGCTGATTTCAGGCTGTGGCTGCCTGAAACCTGCTTTGCTATCCCTGTGGGTTTGATCCCTGGCTTGCTGTGTGCATTGTGTGCAGAGTGGGTTTCCATGAGAACAACGAGCACTGGCCCAGAGCTGGCTGTGTCCCAGACCTGGGGACCCAGTGCCCCATCATGGGCTGCAGTGCTGGGTCTCAGTGCAGGTGAGCCCAGCCCTTGCCATTCTCTCGTGCTGCATGCTGGTCTCTAGGAATTGTGGCTGCCTCGGCAGCCCTCTGTTTCCCACTGACACCCCGTCTTCCCTGCATCCCTCAGCAATGCCTGGGGTCTCGGCTGGGCAGTGACTGTGGGGGCTTGTGGCTCTGAGAGCTGTGCTTGGTCTGGCAAACTGGCATGAGAAGGTGGCAAGGGAGCTGTGCAAACTGGTGTGAGAAGGTGGCAAGGGAGCCGTGCACAGCCATCATGGTGCTCACGGTGCTCAAGCTGGCTGGAAAGCCCTGGTGCTTGGTAGTGGTGGGGGAGCAGCAGTACAGGCAGGACTGGTGTGTCCAATGCCTTCAAGTTCCCTGCCTGGACCTCTTTTTAGGGCGTTGGGAGTTTCTCTGGTGCTTGAGCTGGTTTGAGATGCCTTGTCCTTGCTGTGTGATGAAGAGAAAGGGGAGAGATTTGCTGTGGTTGGAGCCTGAGGGAGGTGGTTTGGAGATGTGGAGCGAGCTGGAGTGTACTGGAGCCAGGCACCTGGAAAGCCACACTTGCAGAGTCCACTGCCCTGCATACCCCTGGCTGCTTCAGGAGCCTTTGGGTGTCACAGCCCCAGCTCCAGCAGGGCTCTGGCACAGCGTGCACCAGTGTGTGCTGGCACAGAGGCATGGAGCCTCCCAGAGCATTGCCCTTGGCCCCCAGCCACAGGGCCAGCAGCAGTGCTGTCCTTGGCAGGGTCTGCCCTCAGGCTGGGGCATCCCACGGCTCACAAATGGAAGCCACAGGGTGAGCTCGAGGCCTGGGCAGGCAGGCTGTGGGGATGAGCAGGGGGGATGCAGGGGTCAGGCTGGCTGTGGGGGCTCAGGCTGCCCCTGTGGTCCCACAGCTGGGTGTGCAGACATCCATCCTCAGGCCTAATGCTGTGGTAGCACCAGATGCCATGGGAGCAGGGCAGGATTGCAGGAGGATTTGTCACTTAGGGGACTAACAGACTGCCACTCACTGATGTTGGGATGCCTGGGGGAATCTCAGTGTCCCCCCATGATGCTCTGCTCTTAGGTGGGAGTTTCCTCAGCATCCCCAAGAGAAATCCTTGTGGGACTGGCCATGTGGGAGTGACTCCCAGTTGGTGATGCTCTGGAGTACCAGAGATCCAAGAAGGATCTTGTGCACACGCTGAGGAAGATCATGGTTGTGGAAGTGCCCCCAGCAACTGATTTGGTTTCTGGGGTGTTGCCTCCACCTGCATCAGTCAGGGCTGACTTTGACCTTGGGAGGTGTTGAACATCCTTTTGGACTACACTTAGTATCTGAAGACTTGGTCAGCTGGTCTGTGAGGCCCAAACTCTGCCAGATCTGTCCTTTGTGTATTGCCAATAATTTTCCAAGACATATGGACTGGCAGGCTTCCTTCAGGGGGGATCAAGGGCTGTGTCCAGAGTTGGATGGGGAGAACATCTGGGGTGGACAGAGCAGGAGCTTCACCCTGCTGAAACTCCCCTTCTATGGGGTTGTACTTGCCACATTTGTGGGAGTTGTGATGTTGAATCACACCTGCTTAGCCAAGCCAGCCATGACCTGGCACACCCATGCCAGCCTGTGTGGTGGGGATGCCACCAGGAGCCTGGGATGTGGAGAGGAGGGAGCTGTGTGACAGTGGTGTGGCACAACCACAACTCGAGGTTGTGTAGACACATGCTGAGCCTCCAGACCCCTTTGCTTGCAATCCAGGCAAATGAAGTCTTTCCCAATGGTGATGGTGCCTTCCACAACCTGACTTTCCCAGGAAAAGGTGGAGATGGACCCAGAAGGAATGGGATCCCACGAGAGCTGGATTCAGGAGAGTGGGCTTCACACCATGCCAGGGTTGGTGAGGAGCACCAGGAGAGGGGCTTTCTCCTGGTTGCTACAGGAGATGCTTTGGAGGGAGGAAAGGAAGGTCTTTGCTGTTTTCATCAGTCCCTTTGGCAAACAAAACATCAGCCTGAGCTGTTTGGCAATGTCTGCTGAAGGACACCCTATCCAGAGTGGCATGGAAAGAGCCACAAGCTTGGTTTGTGCAGGGAAGAGAGAGGAAATTGTGGGGACTTCCACCCTCTGCAGATATATATGGTTGTCCTTGAACTGCTGACCTGTGTTGAGAAGCCCATGAGCTCCTGGCCCTGCCAGCCACAGTGGCTTCCAGAGACCTTGTGTGTTCAGTCTCCACCTGAATTCTCATCTCTACCTCACGCTTCTCCTGCCAGAAGCATTCCCCAGCCTCTTGGCCAAAAATACAGTTTATTCAGTCATGGCCAAATGTTACCTCTCATTCAGTCACTGCTGCTGCCTCATGTGTTTGATGCCACTGAAGCCTTTGTAGCTGAACCACGTTTAAAGAGCAGCCTGCGCAAGCCAGGAGAGGTCACGGGCACGCAGCAACCACATGTGCTTTGTAGAGGCTATTTCCATCATCCAAATTACACGTTTTGCATCAAGCAAAGGCTGAGGCTTCTCATCAAAACTGCCTGGCAGCTGGGGCTGCTAATTACACCAGTGCCCAGCCACAGGATGAAGGAGACAGAGGGCACATGGCCAGTGTGGTGGAAGAGCTGGCTGTGCAGAGCTCACGCTGCTCGTGTCCACGTGTGATGGACCGGGCTCATCAGGTGCAGGGGCTTTTTTGTACAGGCTGTGCCTGTGGTGCCCGGTGTGATGGTTGCACTTACCTGGAGCTCCCCAGGGCACCTCTGAGATGCTGCAGCTGCTTTCTGCAGCCATTTCCTTGTCCATCTCTTGCTGGATGTGGTGCCTCTTAAGTGGCTGCTAATTCGCATCAACAAGTAAGTGGTCAGTGTTGTGTGGGCCAGAACCCAGGTGGACACACGTGAGGTCTCAGTGGAGATGGTGTTCCCCGAAATGCTCTCTGCAGGAGTCTGCAGCCCTGCCAAACTCTTCAGTTGCAGCTATAACCCATCTCAGTCCTGCAGCCCCCGAGTGGGCCGTGCTGCCCTTCCCCAGCAGGGATGTCCTTGCTGGGCTGTACATAGCCATGGGGAGTTGTAGCTTTGTGGTGCCAACACCCAGGCAGGGCAGAGCCCACTGTGCTCAGGCTGGTGCTGGGTGGGCACTGGGTGCCAGCAGCCCCTCAGTGGTGGGGAGGAGAGCCAAGGGCTGGAATGGGCAGATGGGCTCCGTGACAGGCGGGAGCTCTGTGTTGCATCTGACTCTGGTTTAAAAAGTGAACCACAGTGCAGAAAGGACTGGCATCTGACGTGTCCCATGCAAGGACATTCCTGACCCTGGTGGAGATGGGAGCCAAGTTACTCCTTTTTGATTGCCATCCTTGCTGGGAAACACATTGGGTGGGATCAAAGAAGCACTTCTGCCCCATGGCATTCCTCCCTCTGCCCCACTTTGTTCCTGCTGGTTTAATTAAGCACTAATGTGGCCCTGGCAGTGCTGGGCAGCAGTAGCCAGGCTCCCTGGCAGGAGACCATGAGGAGGTCAGAGACCAAGTAGCTCTTCACAGCAATGAGAGCGGGTTATTGCCTCGTAAAGTGCTGCGGCTGTCCTGATACCACTAATGATATTCCTCTCTTAAGGTCCCTGTGTGACAGCATCTGAGTGACGAGGTCATTGGGATGGGGATTTATTTCCCTTTGCCCACAGAGCTGGACTCCTGCCTTTGGGGTAATAGTGAGGAGGAAGGGGAGTGGTACACAGTTGTATTGCTACTTCCAGCCTGCTCTCAGGAGCTGACAGCGAATAGTAGATGTCTGCTTTCTCCAGCTGAGATGGCTGCAGTGACTGGGGAGAAGATCTGGAAATGGGATCCAAGGGCCACCCCAGAGCTTCTGCTGAAGTTGTTTGGGATATGCTCTGTTCCCAG